GGCACCTTGGAAGGTGTGAAACCACACAACCAGAAGGAGGATTGGGAATGTGAAGAAGACAAGGCCTTCCAACTCATTGCTGCAGTGAGTTTTCTACCAGCTCAGTCATCTCTAGTCATGTCAGATATACCACAATTTCATAGATCAGTTTTAGTTCAATAGAATGAATGCTGAAGATTTTGCTTCATTTGTTTGTGCATATACTTAAGTTATCAAATAAATGACCAGAGTAATAGAAGTGAAGAAATGCAAAGAAAGAGAGTATTTGCTGTGAGGCTCCAAGATCAAGTGTGTTCTTTGAAAGGCAGCACTTTCTTCCCTATTTACACATTCCTTAATGCCTAGCTTTATGTTTAAAGAGGCCATGTGCCAAATTAAATGCAAAATCTAATCTGTTAAGCAACTGCAATTTTATGCTTTGGTCAGAATCACAATTACAACAACAAACAACACAGTCAGTGATTAATAACAGGCCTAACCAAGACTGATGTTATTACTGCCTATCTGATTTACTTACCCATTCCTGCTCAAGTAGGCTGGCAGCACAGACAGAGCTTCCACAAAGGTGAAGCATCCAGGATCTGTAAGGGGATGTCTACCATCCATCAGCATTCAACTGAGACAGCACTGCAGAAATTTCATTTTGTGCACTCTTCAGAATCTGTTAATACATCAGACCCAGCCCAGTTTTGGTCTGAACTTCTCCAAACTTCACACGGACACGTTCAAGTTATTTGAGTGTTTTATCTTGGAAACACTAGTTTTCAAAAAAGAATGTCCTCAGGTCTCCAAAACACTATTTCCAAACAATTGTGAAGATTCATTCTCTCAGCACGTGGCTATTTGCTAAGCTTATTTCTAGAGCTTTTGTTGACAAATGGTTAGCCACCGAAAGCTAACCACCAAGATGTTTGAGTACGTTAGCAAACTATTTATGATACTGTGATAGTTCCAAAATAGAGTACTATTACGAACTGAAATACAATCCTTTTTGCCCACTTTCAACAACCAAGCTGTAATCTTAGACTTGCACCATTAACTGCATGCTCTGCCTTTAACCACCCTCTTCCATCAACAGCAGCTGAAGCTGCTGAGCCAGCATGTGCCTCAGACTATTCTTCCATGATTCTTTTCAGCCCATCGAAATTTTCCCTGAAGTATTTTTGCTAAGAATTTTGCTGCAAAGCCCAGTTTGCTGATTTAGCCAAAAGCCTCTTAAAGCAAGAAAATAAAAATATATTTAGCACTTAAACACAAAGAAAGAGCCAGAACAAGACCAAAACCAGGCATCAGCCGTTATAGAAAGGCAAAGGACAGGAGCAATGCTCTTCATGAAAGAAGAGGGCATATGGGTATATGAGTGACATTGGGAAAACCCACAGTACCATTAAAGCTGTAACACACCATGTGGCTTCCTGCCTGGCCAGTCTTGTACATCCTGTCTTTCAGTGGTGCTGTTCACACTCCTGAAGGACAGGATGCCATCCAGAGGGATCTGGACAAGCTTGAGAAGTGGCCCATGAGAACCTCATGAGGTTTAATAAGACCAAGGTGCTCCAAGGTGCTGCACCTGGGTCAGGGCAACCCCCAGCATCGATCCAGGCTGGGGGATGAAGATGGGGAGCAGCCCTGCTGAGAAGGACTTGGGGGTGCTGGTGGATGAGAGGCTGGATGTGACCTGGCCATGGGCCCAGAAAGCCAAATGTATCCTGAGCTCCATCCAAAGCAGGGTAGGCAGCAGGTTGAGGGAGGGGATTTTGCCCCTCTGCTCTGATGAGACCCCACCTGTAGTGCTGCATCCAGCTCTGGGGTCCACAGCACAAGAAGGACATGGACCTGTTGGAGCAAGTCCAGAGGAGGCCACCAAGGTAGTCAGAGGGATGGAGCACTTCTCCTATGAGGAAAGACTGAGTGTGCTGGTTTAAGAGTTAACCAGCAGGGGAAATGAACCCAACTCAAAGGAGAGATTATAAGTCAGAATAACAATTTATTAAAATAATACAGTAAGTACAATCATACAAACAAACAGTTGGTCTTAACCCACAAAACCCAAATGTATAACCCAGTACCCTGGGGCATGAACAAAGTGGTGTTCCCTGGGCCCCACTTGAGTCCAAAGTAAAGGCAGAGGGGAAAAAACCTGCTGGTGGGAGAGCTGTTGCAGTCTGGTCAGAAGCGGTGATTGCAGTCCAGCTGAGGTTGAGAGCGATGAGCTGCAGTCTTCCTTCTGGATCCCACGAGTGGTTAAAAATGTTCCAAGACTCCAGGATTATATATCCTCCAGTTCAGGCAGGAATGCTCAATACTTCCCTCAGGGCGGGGAGTTCCACCAAGGGTGTGAGGACAAAAGCATCCTCCACAGGCCTCTTAACACCTAGTTTATAGCCTGAGGAGTCAGGCTCTATGGGCAGAGGGTGGGAATAGTCTATTGACAACAGTTTCTGGGAAATGGCATGGAAGGCTATAGAATACACAGTTTTGGGTTACACCCATACCATGATGAACTGGTCTCAGTTGTCCTAACTAGGACACTGAGAGAATTAGGATTGTTCAGCCTGGAGAAGAGAAGGCTCTAGGGTGACCTAATTGCAGCCTGAAGGAACGCTACAGGAAAGATGGAGAAGGAATTTTTATAAGGGCCTGGAGTAACAGGATAAGGGGGAATGGATTCAAACTGAAAGAAAATAGGTTTATATTAGATATTAGGAGGAAATTCTTTGCAGTGACAGTGGTGAGGCACTGGAACAGGTTGCCCAGAGAAGATGTGGATGCCCCATTCCTGGAAGTGTTCATGGACAGGCTGGATGGGGCTTTGAGCAATGTGGTCTAATGGAAGGTATCCCTTCCCATGGCAGAGGGATTGAAACTGGATGATCTTTAAGGTCCCTTCCAACTCAACATTCTATGATACACAACATACAAAACATTCAATCACACTCAAACACTGGCTGAAATTTTCCTGTTAACATGAGTAATAACTATAGCACATTATGAACCAAATAATTAGTTAATTAACCAGATACAGATAAATAAATCCATGTCAATCATTAACTGGAGCATTATTCTGGGCCTGGATTTGTGATTGATATATTGCTTTAATTATGATCAAACCACAGAAAACTGCCAACTCCCCATTAATTTGATCCTGCATTTCATTTGGCATACGGTCACTTTAAACATAAAACCAGGCCTCAGAAAGCAATATTGCCATTCTGCATTGTGTAACATTAAATAATTTAAACTGAAAGAGGAAAATAGGAAGGTTTCCCTAAGGGAGCAATGTATATTAGCTAACACAGTTCTACAACAGAGCTGGCTTGATTCTGGCTGAAGTGGCACACAGGCAGAGGAGCCAGTCACTGTCTGCAGAGGTATATCCTCCAGCACTCCTGGACTCTAGAGATTTCTATATTGAATACACCATTAGCATAGACAACATCTCATCATCAAAAGTAAAAGTTCCCTGCTCATCCCTGACATCTCCTTCCAGCTGCACACCACGACTGAGCCAGCTCTCATTTCTCATTTCATGCAAAGGCAAGCTGACTCAGCTCAGCACAATTACAGAAAAATGACCGCCGGCAAAAAAAGCAGTAAATGTGCTTTTGCCAGTGGGGTGAATTCATTGCTCACCTTGTGGCCAGACCTCATCACCAGGAGTGAGAGGAGGGAAGGAGGAAGAGTAAGGCCTTCTCCTTTGGGTGTCAGCAAGCAGCTGAGGCAGCCCAGCCCTGCTGCCACAGCACACCTGGAGAGACAATTCCTCGGACCTTAGGTAGGTGATTACCATTAAACTGTTACCTTAAGTACTTAAATCTGTCTCCTAACCATCACATGATATTTTTGACTCCATAAAGGATTTATTTTTTCCAAGTGGAGACTGTTCATTTAGAGAAAGAAATGAGCGACACAAAATTCAGCACAGCTCCAGGCTGGTGTGCTGCACACACTGTGTTACAGTGCTTCAATTTAAGATTTTGGTCTTAAATGGAGTGAAAAATTGTATTAGCTTATGTTTCAGCAAAATATATGTATTATATTAAATTCCTGACTTGAGAGAGAAGCACATACAATATCATTACTGGCTCTAGGCACTCAGTTATGAATTACAGTTCAGCAGGCATTTAAGCCCACCAAAGCTCAGTTCCTAAACAGCAAGTAACAGCTGCATTTGAAATAAAAGCATTCCTTATTAAGACAAGCATCAAAGTATTTTCAATATTCAGAATTATTAATATGTCTAATACAACTTCTAATTACATTTTAATACATACACTTTAATCTACACATTAAAGTAACATATGTAATAAACAGGATCTACCAAAGGAATTTTTTTATCACTGAACAGATCTTTCAGAAAAGCTGTTTCTGGCTACCAGGATTCTGCAAAAGCACTTACTCTAAGCAGACCTTTTCGTGGTCTTAGAGAACAGTGTTACAAAATATCACTAGGTTACAAAAAGATAAAAATGCACAAACTTCGAGGAAGATTTCCTAGACAGTGGGTGGCAACAAACAGCAGAGATCCATTTAATGAGAAAACTGGCTGGTCTCGGGACAAGTAGATTTATCTCATACACAGGAAAAACAGACCACTGGATAAACCGACTTTATCTGATGGTCGTGGACATTACCAATTAAGTTTTCAGTCTACTCCACTTCTATTAAAACCATGTAAAAGAAATTAAACTTAACAACAGCTGTCACAATTTCTATTTCGCTCAACTTCACTATTTGATTACCAGAAAAAGGATCTACTCCAGCAATGTTCAGGGAAACATTGTGTCTGTGGCATACTGACAATGAGTTCATCTAGTGACCTAAACGAATTGTCTGTGTTTCCCTGCTTGTTGTGATTTCTCACACAACATGATTTTACAGCCACATACACACCCCTGCCTCCCCTTTAGAGAGAGCCTGTAATGAAAATACACAACATTATGGTGCTCTTTAAAGTTCATGTTGCCATTACTTGAGAGGAAAAAAATCAAACAAGACACTAGCAGTTTTAAAATTTATTAATACATCGTTCCAAATCTGGGGCAAGAAACTCCACAGCAACACGCTCACTCCAGAATAACCAAGCACTGCAGCATTTTGTATCACTTAGGTCCATGTATCACCCTCCCCTCAGGCCTATTTGAGGAAAACAATACACTCTAAGTATAATAATATAATGGAGATTAGTAGAGATCCTGCAGGGAAATAAAAACCGTGGGTCCTTCCCCGCTGGAAATGGCACTTCCAATAGTATCAGCAGCGTAAACGATTCACCATTAGCATACAACTGGAGTAATTTTCTGTCATCAGGCCTCGTTCATATGTAAAACAGCCATCCTCCTGTTTCCCAGGGAAAGAAGGTCTCCCACCCCCCACATGCGCTGCTCCAGCTGCAAGCAATACAGGTGCTAACTTATGCAAACACGAGGAAAACTCACTCTGCTGGTTTCTGGCTTTGGTGCGCTGCTGCTTCTCCCTCCACCCTCTGCCCTGGCCTCTGGGTGACTTCTCTGGTCTCCTCAGCGCTGATGACTTTCGCACTTACCCTTTCCTTCTCATCCGAGCCTGCACTTCTTCCTGTAGTTTTCTTTGCTGCTTCTTGAAACCAGGCATGAGAAAAGCAGAATCTCAGCTTTTCCTCCAGACATCTCTTACCTTTCTGCTTTCTCATTTAACGTTGATCACTCCACCTTTTCATTCCAGTGTTGATATTTTTTGTAACTATTTTTTTTTTTTTAGCATCTAATCTGATTGACTGTAGGCAAGTTTCTAAATGCATTTCACTACAGAATTCATTTCACTCTGTGGTTCAGCATTGCCTGGAGTGCTACAAACTGAATCTTCAAAAGGCTTACTTACTCATTAGCATACACCTTCCTGTTCTGAGCAACGCCTTCAGGTGCAGTCACCCTCTTTTCCAGACCATATTCCTTATCTTTACCTCTGAGGCACATTCCTCCTGCTCATCTCGCCCCTGGTACCTTCAGTCTGCAGGGAAAGCAAGACACAGTTCATCCACCATCCCCCTGCCCGACACCAATGTCCCCTTTGCCCCCACCCTGTTCTGTGCAGCTGGTGCCCATTTCCCTTATGCTTTGTTTTAATGAGCACACAGCAGAAGATACTGTCTGCAAACCAGTGGCTTAGACTGCTCTAAATAAAAATGAACTGCTTTAGGCAGTCCTGGCTAAAGCAGGCCTCTAGAACCTCTCTGGCATTTTACCATTTAAAGATAGACTGCTCTAAATAAAAATAAAGAAAGAATAAACAGATATTCTTACTGTTCTCTTTCTAGTTGACTTTTGGAGAGGGACATTTTGCAAGGGCATGCAGTGACAGGACAAGGGGGAACGGCTTTAAACTGAAAATAGGTTTAGATATTTAAGAAGAGGTTCTTAACTGCGAGGGTGGTGAGGCACTGGAATAGGTTGCCCATAGACGCTGTGGATGCCTCCATCCCTGGAAGTGTTCGAGGCCAGGTTGGAGGGGGCTTTGACCAACCTGGTCTAGTGGAATGTGTCCCTTCCCGTGGCAAGGGGGTTGGAACGGGATGATCTTTAAGGTCTCTTCCAACCCAGACCATCCTGTAGTTCCATTATACGATTCTATCCAGGCTCCAGGCCTGCAACGACTAACTGATGGGGGGAATGCCTGAGGCTTTCGGAAAGCTCTAACATACAGACAGATAAAAGCGGAGGCGGAGGGCGCTGGGTCGGCGGGCCCCGCAGCGGGAAGGGGGAGGCGGCCAGGCGGGGGGAGCGGCGTCCCCGCCCGGTGATGGTGGCGGTGACAGGGGCCGGGGCAGGGCAGCAGGGCCGCCCCACAACCCGCCGCACAATGGGGCGGCTGCCGGGCTCCATCTTGGCGGCAGCGGCGGCCGCCCCGGAGCCCGCGGCTGGCGGCGCTTCCCTCCGCGGGAACAACATGGCCCCGCCCCGGCTGCTCCAACAAAGCGCCGGCGCTTCGCTCCGCCGAGGAACCAGCCTCCCCGACACCGCCACCCCGCCCGTCCCCGCCTTCAGCCCCCCCACCCCGCCCCGGTGGTGGCTACGCCGCCCCCCCCGCCACGCTCCGCTCCCGCCGCCGCCGCGCTTCCCCCTCAGGGCCGCGAGTCACAGACCTCCAGCTCCTCCTCCTGCTCCCGCTCCCCCCGCCGGCGCTGCTGGCGGCGGCCCCGGCGGCCCCTCCGCCGCGGCCTCCCTGCCCCCGGACACGGAGCTCCGTGCGCCCCAGTGCGCTGGCGGGGGAGGAGCGTCCCGGGAACGCGCAGCCCGACATGGGGCCGGCGGCCGCGCAGCCCCCGCCGCCGCCCGCGGCTCCGCCCGCCGCCCGCCGCTGAGCGGAGCGGAGCGCAGGGGCCGCTCGGGGCCGCGGCGCTGCCCGCCCCGCATGAGGCGCCGCTCCCCCGCCGCGCCCCGCTCGGTCCCCGCCGCCGCCCTCCTGCGCGCAGGGCCCCCCCCCGCGGAGCCCCGATGATGGACAGGAACTACCCCGCGACCCCCGGCTTCGCCGAGCCCCTGGCCCCGGGCGCCGCGCCGCCCGCCGCCTCCTGGGCCTACGAGCGCGGCGCCGGCAGCCTCAAGCCCAGGTGAGGAGGGTCCGCGGCGAGCAAGGCCGGGGGGCCGCGGCGGGGCCTGGCCGAGGGCGGCCTGGCGGGGCAGGGCAGGGCGGGGGGCGAGCGGGGCCCGGGGCGGCCGGGCCGGCGTGGGGCGGGCGGGAGGCCGCGTCCCGGCGGGCGGGGGGCGGCGGGGGCTCCGCGCTGTGCCCCCGCTGTCCCGGCGGGGCGGGCGGTCTCCCCGCCCCGGAGGCTCGCGTCGGGCTGCGGCGCGGGTTCAAGAGTTCACGCGTCCCTGCGCGGCTGCCGGAGGGCCGCGGGCACCGGCGCTGCCCGCCCGAACAAAGCTGCCCGCGGCCGGGGCACCGCGGCGGCCGCGCCGGCATCCCCCGCGCCCGCCCCTGGCCCCGCGGAGCCCGGGGAGCCTCTTCCCTCCGGGGCGTGCGGAGCCTCCTCTCAGCTAAAACTTCAGTCCCGCGGAGACTTCTGCAAAGTTCCGGGAAGCGCGGGGGGAAAAATACGGGATATCTTATTGGCTTCGGGTTGCTTTTTGATTGTGTAACTCTGCCAGCTAAAAGGAGTGTTTTCTGGGCGATGAGGTTTTTCGTTGTCGCCTGCCTTTTTTATGTCTTGTGGCTTGATTTATCCGCAGTTCCCATCTCGGCGACGTTTAAAGGTAAAAGGGTCTCAGGGGCTAAAAATACCCCGTCAAAATAGGTGCGCTTATAGATAGATGACTTTGCATTTGGTTCTGAAAGTGGTCGGATGCATCTGATAAGATTAATAGATAATCAAGTCAGAAGGACTGCTGTAATCATCTAGTGTGACCTCTTCATAATGCAGGCCATAGGACTTATTTTCCCCCCCAATCTGTGTTTGAAACTAGAGTTTACGTTTTAGAAGGTGCAGTTGAAAATTTCCAGCGAGGCAAAATTCAGCACAATTCTCGGTAAAGTATACAAATATACCGATTTGTATTTTATTTCTGATCTGAAGAGGGCTACCTCTAGTTTCTGGCCACTGAATCTTACTTACAGCCCATTGACACTGAAAATCCCATTAAATATCATATTTTCTTGACTATGAATTCTTATGATTTTTGCTTAACTTCTTGCTTTACTTATTTTTCTTAACATGAACATAATCTTTTGAAGCTTGTTACCAGATATTTTTAATTTTTTTTGCTACTTTAGTTATTCTCCCAGTTTTCTCTTAGATTCCCTCCAGTTTATTGTCACCCTTCCTGAATTGTGGACACTGCATTTGAGAAGCAATTAAGTCAATAATGTTAAATAAGAAGATCATAGGACCTCCCTGAGGTGTGAGTCTCTAGTTTCCCTATTTCCCATAGAATTGCAGGGATGGGTGGTTTTTTGGACAAACCCTTGCCCCATGAAGCTGCTTGGCCAGGTTCTCTGCAGAATTGACTACCTGGCAAAGTAAGGTCTCCTATCATCCTTTCCAATTTTTCTTCTTAGTTGTCAACTGCTTTTGATCATGTCGCTCACTTCCACCAAAACCAACACAGCAACGTGTCCTGTCTATGTTCCTTTTGCCAGTTCTCATCATCTCTTGAGGATCATGCCATCTATTCTAGAAGGGAGGTTTGGATTTTCCAGGTCATTTAAGAATATGTGGTGCAGAAGCAAAAGTGGATTTCTGAGGGATCTTAGAAGAAATGCGACTGTTTGATGATTTTTTTTTTTCTATATTTAAAAAAAAAATACCCTGGTTTTAAAACATAACCTTAATCTTTTTAATAACTGCTATATTAATGCAGTTCAAATTGCGTATTTTGGGAATTCCTTAATTGAAATGTCATGGAGAAAAGTCCCAAGACAACTACTGTGCTAAAGCTCACTGGATCAATGCCTGCTACCTATACCAATCAAATTAGTATTACTGCATCCATATATGATCTGACAATATTTATGCTATGCTTCAGGAAACAATGTCAAGAAGACCTTGCTTTAGTTCTTTAAAGTTTCATCTCAAGGCTTTGTACGTGGTGATGAATGATGCATTTATAATGTGTTGACTGAAACATTCAAACTGTTTTTTATCTGTAGCAAGAAGAGGGAAAACACTATGAATCATATTTTGTGCTTGAAGTTCTCCTGAACTGGCTTCTTGGAGCTCATGTCATTTTAATAAGAAATAATTTACCCTGTTGGACACAGTGTTAAGTAGAGTCTGGGCTTGCAGAGGTGTTTTGGTTCCTCTGTAACATTTGTCTTTGTATGGATGGAGCCATTTGCTGGGGGATTGGGATGTAAGAGTGATTCCTGTCACTGCCAAGGCTTGCACCAGCCTGGAAGGAAATTGTGAAGGTACAGATGTACTGTAAGGGAATATACTGTCCATGTTCTTGACTTGTGTTACAGATCACTTCACGTTTTTCAAAATGGTGTTTCTGATTGTGGCTGACAGGTAGTCACCTAAACAGCTGAAGCTGCATTAGCCTGATGTTGAATTAAAAAATGTGTGTCATGTTCATCTGGTACTTGCTGGAAAAGAATTCAGCCTTTAGGTGATAGAGATAACAATATTTCATTCAAATTTCATTTCATATTTATGCTGTTGCAGGCTGTGTCGTGGCAGGCCATGTTCCCTTTGTGTGGAGAGCCATGTTCACAGTCTCTGCTCACCGGAACGATTTCTCCTCCCTACAAGCGTTGCTCCTGTCTTCCTGCGCTTCACTTCAGCCATCTGGTTTTTATCCTGCTCCTTATTTCTTGCAGGCACTGTTTTGTCTGTGCAATGGCACTATTCTTATCAACTGAAAGGAAATGTGTGGTGAAGTGTTATAAGGACATTGCTACCAGGCCTGCTGTGACATAACCGTTCCCATGGAACAGGAGAAGATGGTGAACTGGGGATGGAAGCTGGTGGAAATCACCTGAATCACTGTGTTAACTGAGCAGAGATCGTTCCTGCTGAGGAGCATTTTGGGACAGTGCAGCCACACAACCCCATAGCAGGGGGCTAAGGGGATGCTCCTGCCCTCTGCTTTCCCCTTCCCCCCCACCTCTTACACAGGCTGTCAGCATCCTCAAGGAATTTGTGATGGTTTGATGGGCACGCTGCCACTCTGACCTTTTACTGTAGCTGCTAGAAAACCTTACTTCTGTACTGAAACTGTCCTTTTGTGGCACAGCCTAAAGCTATTGAATAGCAGAGAAGGTATGTACTTACTGGTTATTTGCTAGAGAAAAACATGGTATTCAGAAAACAGGTGAATGTGTAATAGTTTGAGAGACTCGTAATTGCTTGGAAAGAGAAATAGGAACAGGTGGTAATGGATGAGGTTTCTGGTTTAGTTTATGTCTGACTTGAGGTTTTATTCAGAGAAGGATTTTTAGGAGTGGAGGGATCTCACGGTTCTTGTTTGGTTTTTCCCACAGCTCTAAGACTCAAACCTTCTGCTATATGT